ATACCCTAGACCAGACACTGTCCCACTGGATCAGCAGAGGTTGTTTCTGCCCTGCTCCTCCTCTGGTTTCTAGAAAGTTCTTCCTTCTCCTTCTTCGTTCTCCCAAGCCTTTTCCATAAGAAGCAGTCCCAAAGCTTTCTCCATGGCGTTTTCTCTGATGAATCCCCCTGCTCTCTGCTCTGAGGCCTGAGACGCCATCCAGCTGCTCCCACCTCATGTCGGCTGCGTGCGTGCAACGGTTTTTCTCAACTTTGCTTCAGGACGCCAGAATGCTGAGTTTTGCCCCCTCTTCTTCCTGTCTCTCTCCCGGTGCCTAATGGGACACTGGGCCCCGCAGCCCGCCTCACACCGCAATTCGGTTATGCTCCAGAAGCAGAGACATGGGCTTAAAAAACCACCACAACAGGAGCGGTTGTGAAATGACCCAGTACCGACAGTGTGATCCCCTGGAGGAGGGGTTCCCAGCCCTGGGTCACAGACAGGTTAGGACCCGGGCTGCCCAGCAGGAGGTGAGCAGCGGCGATGGAGGGAAGCTTCATCTGTATTTACAGCCGCTTTCCATCACTCTTGTGACTGCCTGAGCTCTGTCTTCTGTCAGATCTGTGGCGGCATTAGATTCTCCCAGCGCGAACCCTATTGTGAACCGCACATGCGAGGAATCTAGGTCTCACGCTCCACCTGAGGTGGAGCTGAGGCGGTGATGCGAGCGCCGGGGAGCGACTGCAGACACAGATGAACATGAGCAGTGACGTTAGACTGCCCAGAGACCATCATCCACCAATTGCTTGCAGACTCACATCAAAACCCTGTCAGTGAGTGGCACGTGAGCTGATGCATTTCAGTTGCGCAGCTGCATCTGGTGGCAGGCTTGACGCCAGAACCCGACCCTTATTTTGGTCCACGTGTGGCCCACCTATTATCTTGTCGGCCACTTCCGTCTGTGCCTCTTTTATTTTTTTTAATGGTGAGTTGTGTGATTGTTTCATTATAGCTTACAATGTAATAATGGTAGCAATAAAGCACACAATCCTTGTTAGGCGCTTGAATCATCCCGAAACCATCTCCACCCCCAGTCCGTGGAAAAACTGTCGTCTACGAAGCTGGTTCCTGCTGCCAAACATGTCGGGGACTGCTGCCCTGGAGCTGTGGGTCGGCAAGTCTTCCCCAAACCAGCTCCATGTGACGTCCCGCTAGGAAACAGCAAAAGGCATAAAGTGTAGCACCACACCGACCCCCTTTTGGCCTAGCTGAGGGAGACTGATTCCAAACACAGAATGTGACCAGAACAGAGAGTTTGTACAATACATGCCAGAAAATATTGGCTGAACATAATAAATAAGATCAATCATGCAGCCGTTAAGTGGTGGAAACGGAACTAGGTTTAGCGCCGGAAGCCCTGGGTTGCAAAGTCACAATGGGACTGGAGACTTCGGAACCTAGAGCAGGGTTCAAATCCTGAGCTGCCATGAAATCTCATCTGTGAAAAAGCATCTCGTGCATGGTTGTTTAAAGGATTCATGCTGGACCAGGCGTGGTGGTTCAAGCCTATCATCCCAGCACTTTGGCAGACCAAGGCGAGAGGATGGCCTGAGCCCACAGGTTCGAGACCAGTCTGGGCAACATGGTGAGACCTCATCTCTACAATAAATCAAAAAATTAGCCGGGCATGGTAGCGCACACCTGTAGTTCCGGCTACTCGGAAGGATGAGGCGGTAAGATCGCCTGAGCCCAGCAGGTTGAGGCTGTGGTGACCGGGAGTGTGCCACTGCACTCCAGCCTGGGCGACAGAGTGAGGCTCTGACTCCAAAAAAAAAAGGATTCGTGCTAGTGAAGAGGTGTGTTGAATAACCAAGGAGAAGGCACAAATGGTCAGCTACTGTGGATGACGTTACCATCATTAACATCTTACCCCAGCCATGTCCTCCCCAGGCCTTGAACCAATCATGCTGTTGCCTCTTGGGCCTCAGCTTCCTTATATATGAGACCAAGGCCTGAACATAGATGATCCCTACATGCTAAAATTCTTTTATTCCTCCCGTGATCCGGGAGACCAGGGTTGGAGCCTAGGCCTTTTGGCCTGAGGAGGTCACTTCACTTTTCCATGCCTGTCTCTGTCTGCAAAATGGCCACACGGCTGGATTGGTGCTCTTCCAGTCCTTGCAGCTTGAAAGCTCTGTGAGTCTTGAGATGCTGTGGGAAACACCAGAGGAGAGGCTCAGGATCAAATCAAAACCCAGGCGACGCTGCAAAGAACAGAATTGGAGGGCTTGCGGCGGGATGCGGCGGGGGTGGGGCCAGGGAGGCAGGGAGGGTGGCAAAGGGCTTTCCTGAGTGAGTCCAGCAGCGCTGCTGTGTGCGTTTGAATAAAATCTGGCAAACGTGCAGATGTCAAGGAAGGAGGTCTGGAGCTGTGCTTGGGGTTCTGCCTTTCTATCAAGCTTCCGGTTGATGTAGCCGGTCCACGGACCACACTTTGAGTAGCAAAGAGTTCTTCCTTCCCCAGCACAGCCACTGGGCAGCCTAAAGAGGACTAGAAGCCAGTCTCCTCCCCTTTCCTTTCTCATGCCTCTCCCCTAAGACCCTGGAGCAAAGGATGTTTTTGTCATTGTTTTTTTTTTTCTCTCCCCGGTCCTTCCTTCTAACCCAAACCCCAAGTACACGCCTGCATGCATACACATGTGCGCACGTACACACACACCCCACACACACACACACACACACACACACACACCCATTCTAGCCTCCCCAGCCTCATCAATACTTCCATCACCGATCTTCACTGCAAAAGTGATTTTGGGGGAAAAGAATCTCACACCACGTTTTCCAGGCCCTTACTGTCTGGCGGTGGCGATCCCAGAGGAACGGGAGTGAAAATGTCTCCATTGTTGGAGAGGGGTGATGTCATGTCCAAGTTTTCCCACTGACACAGTAAGCCATCTCTCCTTAGTCCCGGAGGCTGGTGTTTCTGCTGCCACGCCCACCCTGCTGGCAGAAGAGGGACCTCCCACAGGGTGTTTTTCCTACCCAGCCTCCAACCATAACGCCCCACCCATACTCACCTGCCCTCCACCCTGATAATGCCACCTTCCTCCTTCCTTTCCGAGGGCTCCTTTCGCACCCTGGGGCTCCTAAGGCAAGGGCTGGCATTTCTGAAGTGCAGCGGGACAAAGAACTGATCTGTCCCCCACCCGGTGCACCCCAGGCTCCAGCCTTCCCAGGCACCCGCCAGAAGTCCTGGGACGTCCACACCTGACACGTCTGCAAACCACTGGCAGCCCACTAGAGGATCATTCACACTGCTTGAAAAGTGCTGCCCAAGCCAGAGTCCTCTCCTGTTCTCTTCCCCCCAGTCCCCTCCCCTCCTTCCTCTCCCCTTCTCTCCCCCTCTGGAACATGTAGCCCAGCACAGCTCATTTACTCAGGGAGTCGTCCCCTGCCCTTTTCTCTCCCCACATTTTTTTTTTTTTTT